CCATTTAGGATGCTGTAATGAAAATACCGGAGACCAGGCTCAACCAACCAACATTTATTTCTAATAGTTTCTGGAAACTAGGAAGTTCAAGGTGGAAGCATCAGACAGTGGTGTGGTGCTGCTTCGTGGTTCATAGAAGGCTGTGTTGTTGTTGTTGTTTTGCCTTCACATGGCTGAAAGTGAGAAAACGTTCTCTGGGGTCTCCTCTATAAGGGAACTGGTCGTAGCCTTAAGTACTCCATCCTTATGGCCTGTCATCGAGCAGAGACCTATAGCTTCCAGCCGTCACACTCAGGGTTAGGGATTCAGCCCATGAGCTAAGCGAGGACGCATGCATTCAGTCTGTACAAAGTTGTTTCTTGTCCCTCACTGAAATGTGTTCCTGCAGCACAGCTCAGCCACACAGGTAGAAGTCTGGATGCCCTCTAACCGTTTCATGTATGTTCTATACGACTTGTTTCAGGAAACATGAAAAGAACACCCTTACTATACAGTGTTTCAGAGCCTTGGTAGAAAAAGGCAAGAATTAAAAAAAAAAACTTTCATGGAAGATCAAGCTGATTAAATATGGTTTTGTTTTCAAGACAGGGTCTTATTACTATGTAGACCAGACTGACCCAGAACTCACAGAGATCTGCCTGCCTCTGCTTCCCCAGGGCAGGGATTAAAGACATGCACCACTACCTTAAATATGTTTGAAAGGGGACTTTTATTTTTAGGCTTTTTGCCTTAAGTTTTAAATTAGAGTGCAGTGCCTGTATGTCTGGGTCCAGGTATGTCTTGTGACCTTTACACAATCACATTTATCCTTACCTCTGAACTCTGAATCTAGAACCTACAACAGTAACATGTCACCATCAGACGAGCCTCTCTGATGATAAGGAATGTCTTCTGGATGGTCGGGTTGTGAAGGTCACAGTGTGCTGGTCTTTGATAATGTATGAATCTTTTTGCAGCTGGAGTCAGCTGTTTGTGGCTTCTTTTCTCCAGGTACAGAAGTCTTTGAAATTCTCCCGTACGGCAAGAATCTGAATTTATAGCCAACCCAGTTCAAGCCCTTTGGCTGGAGCCTTATCCTTCTCTGCATTCTTGTGTGGCGTTCTCTTGCCCGTGAGAACAATGTGCGCTGATTGATTGCTTTCTCCTGCAAGGATTACATTAAAATGATTTTTAGCCATGCGCTCCCATTTTCTTCAACAGTGCTTCTGATTCGAGACTCAGCATTTCCCTCCCCGCCTCTTATATATGTCCTTATTTTGCTAGGATAAAGCAGAATGGAGCTGTGCAGGACTTTGTCTCATTATTCCTAAATGCTAAATTTTAATAACAACCTACATTTGTCCCTGGATAGTGGAAAAAGGTCCATAACAATATACCTCCACTTGACTTTTGCTCCTCCCACCTGACTCTGAAATAGCAGTTGGCCATTAGAGCAACAACGCCCAAGTTAATTTTCAACTTGTGTCTAACAAAGATACAATTAGTGTCCCAGGAACAACACAAGGTTTCTTGTTGAGGAGTAGCATCCATAGCTTCAGTACAGACGCTCACTATGTTGGCTACACTGTCTCTCTTTGTGGCTGTGGATACGTTACTACTTGTAGTCAATTTATTATAGTCTGCATCTTTTCAGAGCACATGGCCCTTCCTCATTTACTGTGCTCTGTGAATTGGGTCCTCTGTATGTTGTTTCTACCAGAGCATTTATTGTATGTTTTATGGCCCTTATGAGACCTATTGTCTTTCATTATTTTCCTCCTTTCTTTTATCTCTGCTGATTATAAATTGCTTTAGAGTTTTGTCTGCCCTTTTAATTATATGCTTTGCACTGGGAGGATTCACTGTGTTCCTACAAGCTGTGAGCCTCTTGCTGTGTTGACCTCAAGTCTTCAGCTGTCCTGAGATTCTCTAGTCTTTTTCCTAATCATACTTTCATTTCTGACATGGGCTCAGAGATCATGAAAGTTCACAATTGGCATAGAAATGCCTGAGCTGAACTCTACACTTTCTCCTCCTTGTCAGAGGTAAGACTAATTTGCTATTGTGGTTGGTCCTGGGACCTAGCTGAGTGATTGATGCACAGCGTGATTTATTGTATGGGAAAAGAGATATGTGGTTTTAGAACGTTGGCTTTAGCACGCCTTTAATCCCAGCACTTGGGAGGCAAGGGTAGGCAGGTCTCTGTGAGTTTGAGGCTAACCTGGTCTGTAGAGTGAGTTCCAGGATAGCCAGGGTTAAACAGAGAAATCCTATCTATAAAAACCCCAAAACCAAACCAAACCAACAAAAATGACTCTGGCTTTATCTGTAAAGGCATGAGAATGGAATGCAGAGATGCAGAGATGGCTCAGCAGCTAGAGTGTAGTCTGCTCTTGCAGAAAACCCGGGTTCACACCCATGTTGACAATTGCCTGATGACCCCAGCTCCGGTGCGTCTGGCGTCTCTGTAGTCATACTGGCACACATGCACATACTTTCCAGCCCTCAGGCACACATGCATACATTGAATTAAAAATAAAATAAACGTTTTATTGTAGAATGAACTCTGGTGTCAGAGGTGGACTTCCTGGGCTCACAAACTCTTGCTCTGTGGTATGGCAGCTGTGTGCTTCTGGACAAATCTCTTAAGGCTTCTGTATCTGACACTCTGCCTTACATTGTGCCTCCCACTCACTGAGATACTAAGTTCCTAATCCTCACTCACTCCGTACATGATTTTGTTTATATGTAATTAGCTCAGGTAAGGTCATATTAGAGGACCGTAGGTGCCTCATCCATTATGCAAGGGGCCTTAGCCTGCTTCAGAATTCTACTCTGTGTTAATTGTGTACAATAAAAGTTTGTTTTGTTTATGGCTCTGAAGGCCAGAAAGTCCAACAGCACAGCACTGGCATCTGGCAAGGGTCTTCGTGCTGTGTCACCTGGTGGTGGAGGAAGGGCAGTATGTGAGTTTCTAACAAAGGAGAGAAAACAGAAGTTGGTTTTTGTTTTTAAATGAGAAATGTCGTCTAGCATAACCACTCCAATCACAGCATTCCCCCATCCATGTGCTCAGACTTATGACTCATCAGTGGCAACCGAATGTCAGCATGAGTTTCAGAGACACATTCAAACCTTAGTAAGTGATGTCCACAGAAGCAGAAGGAGTCTGGATGTGGCCAGTGTATGAAGGCAGAGACCCACAACCAAGCAGTGGCAAAGGCCACTGGGAGGAACCAGCTCTAGCAACATCTTATTTTGGATTCCTGTCTTCTAGAACTGGGAGACAACGAGCTTGCACTGTCTAAGACACCCAGTCTGTGGTTCCTCTTTACAGTAGCCTGAACATTTAATGAAAGCGGCAGCCGTTAAATCAGGTTGTTCTAAGGCTCCAATGTGTTGTTCATAAAGCTCTTAGGGTAGCGTTTGACACAGAGCAAGCACTAACAATATTAATTATTGTATTAATGCATGCTAATTATGTACCACATGCCTCCCTAGATGCTCACCTTTTATTAGCTAGCCCTACAAAGTCATGATGCCAAAGGATAGTAGCCTGCATATACCCATAAGATAGGAATTCCTTCATGCTTCTCCTATGAGCCATTGTTTCAAATTAAGCTAGTAATAGCACTGATGCTATAGTTGAAGTGACAGTCACCATTTGCTAACGTTTCTCACACAACAGAAGCTATTATAGGTTCTGTGTTGTCAACTCTATCTCTACACTGCTACATGCTAGTGTCCACTGCTGATGTTTGCAGTGCTTCCCTTGGTCAACACTCATAGGCCATGTCCTCCTCATCTTCAGAGTTACTGATCCTTGACCCCCCCACCCCCAGTGCCAACACTAGGGTTCAAGGAACAGCCTTCTCTGTGTGTGGTGAAGTGAGTGTGAGTCTGTCCTGAGCTGTTCAGACCTATTCCTTTCCCTGTGGTTATCTACTGCTGCGTTAGAAAGACCCCAACACTTCAGCTTGAAGCTGCGTGACCATTTAGTTTCTTGTGATTTCTTATGAAACTCTGGAATGGCTTTACTCAGGCAGGGCGGGCCATGATCTTGAGGGATTTGTAGTCTGTTGGTGGTAGACAATGGAACAGCTGTGGTCTGGCTAGTCTTTGTTCCCTTTGGCTTCTCTGTGTGATGGTGTTGGGCTTCCTGACAAAATGGCTGCCCCTAGAGAGGTGAGGCTCATCTACTGTGACCCTGAGTCGACTATGTCTAAGATATAGGAGGAAGGACAAAGGCTGTCCTTGAGCATCCTGCACTTGCAATCTAGGAATGAAAGAGAGTCTCACTGCCAGATGTGACGTCTCTACTGAAGTCTCCTGCTTTTACACCCTGTTAGAAAAATCAACTGAACTCTTGCTTTTATACCTATTTAAAAAAAAAAAATCAGGGCTGTGCATATGGGGATTGCACTGGTGATGTTTTGAAATATATAAAGATTGCAGTATTTGAAAAGGATTTTACAGCTTCTCTGAGAAAATAAAAAACGAGTGTTCTGTGTATTCAAACACTTTTAGACTTTTTATTGCTGTGCAATACTAAGAATTCAAGGGAAAGGTTTGTAAAACGAGTAGGCAAAGGGCAAAATCCGAAAATCCACTTTTGATGTTTTTATTTCTTTTTTTTTTATTGCTCATTTATTTTTCAATAAGGGTGACTGCTACCTCTTCTTTTCTGGCAAACTCAAGCATCTAAATTTTGAGTAGAATATGTATTTATCGTGTTTGCGTTTCTCCTGGAAGCAATAATTAGCACAATATCCTGAAGGTCTTAGATGTTCCCAAACCAGTGTGAAATTTACAACAATTTATTCACTTGATAAAAGGATTCAGTCTCCCTTGAGGAGGAATGTCCGTATGTCATTGCAAAGTTCATCTGGAAACGCCAGTCAGTGTGTGTGTCCTCAGGGCCAGGCTGGGCACACACATACTCCTGTGTTAAGACTACGTTCCATTGCAGAGAAGGCCGGGGTTGGGTGAGTTGGTCAGCACTATGTTCATCTGTCTTGCAGGTCCTCCACTCTTTTACAGACGCCATCTTTGATGAGTGGCTGAAGAAAAACAACCCTCCCACAGATGCCTGGCCTCAGGAGCTGGCACCCATTGGTCACAATCGGATGTATAACATGGTCCCCTTCTTCCCACCAGTGACTAATGAGGAACTCTTCTTAACCGCAGACCAACTTGGCTACAATTATGCCATTGATCTGTCAGGTAAGGCGTACAGCTTTTAAGTGGGTGACTCAGTCAGCTTCTGAGGCAGCTTTCTTTCTCTGTTTCTTTTTAATGTAAGCAAGACTGTTAATTGAAGCATTCAGGCCGAGTTAAGTTTATTGGCCATTTTGAGAATACCTTGGATTTAACAAGATAAGTCATTAAGCTACCAATTAAACATCAGAAGGGGACTAGCTGCAGATCATTTGGGAAAACTGTAAGTTGTGACAAGACACTATTCTACAGAGGCAATGTCAACTCATCTGCCTGATTTGACAGTTTTTATCTGAACTAGCCAGATCTATGAAAACTGTCCCATGTGTAACCGATAAAGTCCAAGTGACTTTTACTTACGTGTGGACAGGGAGGGGCTAGTGATTTTATTTGCAGCAGAGCTGAGATTATTGAAACATACTTTGGACTGTCATAAGCTACAGAGACCAGGCAACAGCAAAAACCCAGTCATCATGGAAAACAATAAAATGAAGCATTTTAAAAGACACTTACTGGTAGTGCAAGACCTTCATGAGATTCCCCACCATGGGTTTGAAGGTCACCTGTTGTTTATTTGATTGATCCAATGAAATTACTTTGCAACTGTACCGGGTACTTTGAATCAGTCTTGGCTACACCAGTGCTTTATGGACAGGTCTACCCGGGATGACTGAACCTCAGAAAAGATTGGGCTCCATGGAGATTATGGCATGTTTTCAAATCCAGGCTATCTTTATTAGTATGCGTGGCTACCTTTTCTTCTTTTGCCCAGACTCCAATGCTTCACTTGCCCTTCATGGAATCTTAGGGAAGCTTGAGAAAGGAAAGATAAAACAACAGAAATATTTTAATGTGTGGGGAAGCTGCAGAATAGAATCTGCTGGTAGTTTCTTCCTGTCTGTCACTGCCCTTATTCTTAGCCTACAGGGTGACTCCAGTGCTCTTCATGTTGCTCTCTGACATGGAGAATATTTTAGTATTGGCATCTGTTTTCCCCTCTGTTTGGCACTGACTGCTTCCCGTCTTCACTAATTTGGGATGCCAAGGGCATCCTTTTAACATTTCTTTCTCTTTGTTCTTGGATTAAGCATAATAATAATCAAAGATTTGGACTGAGCACCCCGGTCTGCTTTTATTCCCCACCTTGAGAATCAGTTAGCATAGATCATCTAAATCCCAAATATGTCTAAATCTATTTACCAGATGATAAAAAATCATGACGGGTGATAGTTTGACCATGAAATATATACTTCTGCTTGGGGAGGGGTGTAAGTAAAGGGTGTTCTTCTCTGCTGACTCCTAGGCTCGTTGGTGTTCAGCAATCCAGACGGACAAAAGAAAGATTAACAGGAGAAATATGATGTCCCTCTTTATGAGACATGGGACTCTTTCTAGAACAGAAAGAAGGGAAGTCTCAGAGAAGTCAATAACTTAGGAGCTTAGATCCCACTTTAAACCAGGAGTTGGAAGTCATAGAGATGTGACTGACAAAGGCAAACTATGGGAAGTGAGTCCTCAGGGAAGCAACAGCAGAGGAGGCTATCTTTCTAAGTTGGTGAGGTTTCACGCTTTCATGTGACAACTCCCCCTACCCCCGCCAGGAAGATTTCTGGCAGTCCTTGTTTCTTTTGAGTTTCTGCTTTTGGTCAGTTAAGGAAGCTCTAGGAAGTGACATCTGCTGAATGCTGAGTGCCTTTATCTTAAAATGACCCTCTTACCCGTGGACATATTGTGGGGAGAGATATTCTGCTCCTCTTCCAACTGAGGGTAAAAGGCACTAAGGGACTTGGCAAAGACTGTGTACAAGATGGATCTGAAACTGGAGTTGAGGAGACTGGTGGATGCTGAGTAACTGAGCAGGTGTTTTAGACTGTGGAAGGAGAGGGACAGACAGGGAACTGCACAGGTGGCTTAATTGAAGTCTGGGAGAGGGAATCTTGGCTCTGCCCGAGTTATCCCTGACTGTGAGATGCTGGCAAGCAGAGTGCTGTCAACTTAAAGAGAGCCAAGACATCTCTGATGCCTCCTCCCCTCCCTGTCATCTCTTACTGCCCTTTCCTTCCCAAGGTGCAGGAAGGGGCTTTCTCTGAAATCCGTTTCCCTAAAAGCCAGACACTCCAGAGGATCAATAGAACAGACTAGATCTCATGGCACATTCAGAGCCCAGCAAGCTTGTCCCCAGAACACCATCAATTGTCCCTGAAAAAACCCATGAAATCTTTTCCTACAATTACTCTTCAACTCTAACCAGATGTCGCTTCTCAGTGTTTTACGCTTTGTGGAACTCCCGTGTGCTCACATATTCATGGGTTTGGATGCTGTTTCTCCTGTTAACATGCTTGTTGTTGGCCTTATGTTTCTTTTACGTACTCAAATGATTCTATGTTCAGAGACTGAAAAGGAAATCCTTTCGCCTCCACACCTTGCTGTACTGGAAGGGTCTAGGCAGAGAGTCACTGGGCATTATAGAATAGGATTCACTGTATGTTGGTTTCTACATCTCAGTTTTATAAAACAAGGAGTCTTCTATAGTCAATGGTAATGGCAGACACATACAAATGTGAAGATACTTTAATACCACCAACTGGAAGAGGAAATAGATATGATGGTAAAAGTCTATATTATATGTATGTTACTACAATTTAAACATGTTTTTAAAAAAGTCCAACAGGAAAAAAAAAGGCCATCATTTTTGTCATCCCATTAAAGAAATTCCAGAATAAAAATCTGTGGTTGGCTTGGTTTTGAGACAGGATCTCACCATGTTGCTCTGGGTGGCCTGCAACTTGCTTTGCTCTTTGTAGATCAGGCTGCCTTCAAATTCATAGAGAGCTCCCTGCCTCTGTCTCCCAAGTGCTAGGATGAAAAGTGTGTGCCAACATGACTGTTAAAACTTCATGTTTTAAGAAGCTATAACCAGTTCACACAAGGCCTGCACAAGATCGTACAAGACCTGCCCAGTATCACACAGGACCTCCACAAGGTCACACAAGACTTGTACAAGATCACATAAAAACTGCACAAGATCAAGCTGTTGACAGTCTATAGTTTAAGTTTAGCACTGAGTGGAGTAGCCTCATAAGTTCCCGCCCATAACTGAGATATTGTTGACAGTCAATGGCTTCTGGAGGGGGAGAAAGAGAGAGTCATTTTTCTTAAGAGTGTGAACCCTGATAGTTCTACCATGCTGTAGTGGATAGCCCGCGAGTATGAATACCACAAACTGGACTCAGTGGGTGACTTTTTTTTTTTAAAAAAAAAAAGGAGATGAAGATAGGGGTGGGTAGGTAAGTAGAGTAGATCTGGAAGGACCTAAGAGAAAGGGTGAAAGGTAAATACAAAAACACAATGCATGAAATTATCAAAGAATTAATCAAATGTTGTATTTTATATAAAATTATATGTCATATTGCCAAGGATTAGTCTTGGATTGGTTGATGGTCCTAAAGAAGGAGTGTTCAGGAATGGTGAGAAGAAAGACTTGAAGTCAAATTGTAGGTACAAGATGACACCTTCTGTGTTCTGCTTGAGACAAGTTTCTCTGGAGATCTCCAGACAGCTCATCCTGATAGCTCAGCTCTTGCAGACCAAAGGCCAGTCTTCTATTTACGTATAAATTTAGTCATTTACTCCAGTTCCCCTTTGATTATCCCATGAATCAGCATTCCTTGACCCCAGCTCCTTGATCCTTAGAAAAAGACAGCAAGTACATTCTCTTTTCTTTTTTCTTTTTCTTAACAATGCAAATGAATTCAGAGATCTGCCTGCCTTTGTAAGCACAGACAATAAGTTTAGCTGGGTGGGATCCTATCCTGAAATTACTATTCCTACCATTCCTGGACCTAGACCTAAACTTCCTCTGTCCCTGGCTGACCACCATGAACTCAGGAATCTGCCTGGCTTTGTAAGCACAAACAATAAGCTTAGCTGAGTGGGATCTGGCTCTGAGATCACTACTCTCTAAATCTCTTTATCTCCTTCCTTAATATCTTTCTGAGAAGCTGGCTGACAGTTTAGTTTCCTCTGTTCTCTTAGGTCCATGAAGCCCCTCATATAATTCATATTGCATCCTTATATTTTTGCATACTTGAGAAATTATGTCTTTTTGAATTCCCATTTTCAGAATTCTTTTCCACAGCCTTAAGCGCACTTCTGGCAGGGCAGTGGTGGTGCATGTCTTTAATCCCAGCACTTGGGAGGCAGAGGCAGGTGGATTTCTGAGTTCGAGGCCAGCCTGGTCTACAGAGTGAGTTCCAGGACAGCCAGGACTACACAGAGAAACCCTGTCTCGAAAAACAAAACAAGAAAAAAAAAAAAAACCAACCAACCAACCAAAAAAAAAAAAACCCCAAAACCAAACCAAACCAAACAAAACAAAACAAAAAAGGCACTTCTGAAGGTCTCAGCATTTACCATTTTGCTGAGACATTAGACACACCCTTTCCTTCTGGACTGGTGCTGCTTCTAATTATCACAGAGTCATTAACCTTGGCAGGAATAGCATTCCTTGATAACTTTGGAAGGGAGATTATTTCCTGAAGGAGGAACACACACACACACACACACACACACACACACACACACACACACCTACCTTATGCCCAGCAGCAATCAACACTTGTGGAGGCCCACATCCTGTTGACTCTGTTCCAGAGGTAGGAACCATGTCATGCTGTCCCTTCCATGACCATGCTGGACTTGGCATCATATAAAATTAATAAAAAATTATGAAAAGAAAAAGAAGTTATAAGTAGTAACAAGTTCTGCTGGATCGTACCAAGAAAGGACAAAGAAACTCCTTTTGGAGGGATACAGTCAAGATGGGCCCTGGTCCTTGGGACTAAAGAAGGTTGAGAAGGTACTCTGTCCTTTAGGTGAGGGTCAGCTGTTGAAAGACAAGATGGCTTGGAGACTTCTACAGCAGCTGATATGGTTTAAGGAAATGTCACATAAGCATAAACATATTTCAGAAATACACTATAACATCATGGGAGAGTGATATTAAGGGTGAGTAGAAGATTAGATGTATCACGGGAGAGGCTTAGATTTTATTCACAATGATTTAAATAGATACAAAGAGATCTGCCTCTGCTGGTGAGTGTTTTTGTCAGGAGAGTACATCTGTTCTCTAACATGCCTTTATCATCTGCCACAAGGGTAGAGCCAATAGCAGAATTTCCTACCGAGAGTGTCTTTCGTTTAACCGTTCCCCAAAGATCATCTTAGCTCTCATGTCTACAAACGAGTCTACAAATGAGTTTCTAACTTACAAAAGCAGTTATGCATTTCCTTAGAGGTTTTGTTCTGCATCTAAACATTTATTGTGACAGATTTACAAAATGCAATAAGCCTGATTTAAATAATGGGACGGTGTTTTCCGCTTCCTTGAAAAACAGTTGTGGCTATGATAACAGCGAGAAGAAAGAAGATAAAATTCTAGCAACGGTAGTTTTGTTTTGCAAACAAATGTACATGAGAAAGGGAAGTATTTTCATTTTCTAGCGGTGTTTGGCTGATGGAACTGAAACCACAGAGCCTCCCTCTCTGCTTTCATTTCAGTGGAAGAAGCTCCTGTTTGGACCACAACTCTCTCAGTGGTCGTTGGAATACTGGGAGCTCTCGTCGGACTCTTGGGGTTGCTGGCTTTCCTTCAGTACAGAAGGCTTCGCAAAGGATATGCCCCTTTAATGGAGACAGGTCTAAGCAGCAAGAGATACACAGAGGAGGCCTAGCATGCTCTTACCTTTCCTGACCCAGGTAGTAACTAAATGCACCCTCGCTCATCTTGTGATAGGTGAAAATCTCCAGCATGTGCTCCTTGGTAGTGATGATCATCCCCCTATAGAAGACACTTAGCTCTAGTCGCTGCTTTGCTTATTGCACACAGACAAAATGCTTGGGTCTATCACAAAGTATATGTGACTTTGAATTAAAAGTCCTTATATTGATTAAGTCTCTTTCTATTCTAAAAGCACAGCCACCACCATCATCACCATCACCACCACCACCATCACCACCACTACCACAACCACCACCATCACCACCACCACCACCATCACCACCATCACCATCACCATCACCACCACCACCATCACCACCATCATCACCACTACCATCACCACCACCACCATCACCACCACCACCACCATCACCACCACCAGCAGCAACAAAAACATTGAGTGTATGCCTTTAAATTTGCAGCTAAATGTATTTTGAGGTCAGGATACCAGCAGTCAAAATACATACTTGAAATAGTGTTTGTCACAAGTGTGCTTGTCAACATTTCACTGTTATATTGAAACATGTGAAGCAAGCTAACTTCATGAAGAAAAGAAGGGTTTTCTTTCTAACTTTCATGATCTCTGTTTTATAGGTACAGGGACAAGGGACTGAATTTGGTGATTGTGATGTTCATAGAATCCCAAGGTGGTATAGAACACCTTATGGATCACACGGCAAGAATTAAGGATAGTGTGTGTATGTGTGTGTCTGTCTGTCTGTCTGACTGACTGTCAGGCCACTGTCCTTCTTTTTATAGAACCCAGATCAGAATTCAGTTGGGGGCTTCGTTCTGATGACCTTATTGAATCCTAATTACTTTCCCACATCTAAAGCAAAAGTATAAGTTTTCCCTTCTTAGTTCTTCATGCTGGGGGTTAGATTCTAATCCATGAAGCTGGGGTGGAGAGAGCACACCCAGACCATGTCCAGCCTGGGAGTAGATGGATCACACCCAGATCATGTCCAGCCTGGGGGTGGTAAGATACACACTCAGACCATGTCCAGCCTGGGGGTGGTGGGACACACACTCAGGCTACGTCCAGGCTGGAGAGGGTAGAACACCATGGCTACAACAGTGTACCGTCACTACTCGCAGTCCACAGTCCCTATAGTTGAAGACTGTTGCAGGTATCTCATCCTCCGCTGCTTTGGGCTTTGTTTTTCTCACATCTTTTTCCTTCATCCCTGATAAATAAGAAAAGCCTTTATTTTCCATATAGGATGAAGAATGAATAAATGAAGCTTTAATTCAGCTTCACGGGTTGAAGTTTATAAAATTGTTTAAAGTTGTCATTCTTGATAGTTCTACAAGACACAAGAGCTGCATAAATATTGACTCCATAGGATAAACAAGCAGACGAGGGACTGACTCTAGTTCCCTCATTCATCAGCTTATAACTCAGGTGTTGATGGATGCAGGATCATGTATTTGCAGGGAAGGCTGACTGGAGGAGGTGTGTCATGAGGCAATTCATTAAGAGCCCCATGACCCTGAGGTCTCATTCCACTGATGCTGAGCCCACTCCTTTCTTAAGGAGCCTTGCATGAAAAAATCTTTCTTCACAGTTCACTGAATGGTTCGTAAGAATTGTCTGTGGATGTATTCATGTGGTACTGTAGAGACAATTATTCAAGAATACTAGCCAATTAAGTCTTACCATCCTAAAGCAAACCGCCTATTCAAAGTATGGCAATTTGGAATTAAATGGTCACATTCTACTAAGAGATTATCAGATCATGAAAAATAAGAATGCTTAGTATATTAATCATTAATACAGTGTTTAGGTTGATTATGATTGGTCCTGGGGAAATAAATGGCTGGGTGTCAAGAGCACTGGTTGTCTTCTTGAGAAGCCTTGATCAATTTCCAGCACTCACAAACCTGGAACTTCAGTCCCAGGTTTTGATACCTTCTTTTAGCCTCTCCAGGCATGACTTGAACACAGTACACATGCATGTCTATGCATGAAAGCAGGAAACCCAAAACCATAAATCTTAAATGTATCACAGTGGTCCCCACTTCTGAGAGGTTAAATGTTACTGATATCTCAAGTCAGAGACCCGTAAGGTGGGGAAAGCCACTTGCCATGCAAACCTCGTGGTGTGAGTTTGACCCCGAAAACAATGAAAAATACAGGATGCGGTGGTACGTCTCTGTCATAGCAGCTTATCTACGGACGGATGAGATGTGGAGACGAAAGTCTGTCAGAAGCTGAGGGGTCAACGAGGATATAGTATGCATGGCGAGAACAAGAGAGACCCTGCTTCACAGACAAGGTAAAAGGGGAGAGCTACCTTGCAAAAGATGTCCTCTAGCCTACGCGCAAGTAAATCGATTTTTAATAAGTGTTAAACTGGTTATCATGGGAGTCATGACTACAGTTCTCACTCCTGGGAGGCTGGAACACGATTGCTCTGAATTCAGGGACAGCCTGAGCACAGTATATCTCAAAGGGAAAACAAACAGAAACAAAATTTAAGGTGACATCCATTTGTCTAATATCTGATGTATGCCCATCAGGAATGAGGTTGGAGTGTACAGGGCTCCCCTGTGAGCTTGTTTGGCCCCCTCTCTGCTGACACGGCTGTGTGTAAGAAGAGGCTCGGTGTTGGGAGGTCTGTGGAGCTGCTGTGTGGCGGGAGAGCGGTGGGAGGCAAACAGGTGCACACTTTATCCAGTTTCTTTGGAACAACTGCTAAAAGGGATAATGGCAGCTGGAACAGAATTCAAGTCCAAGTCTCATAACTTTACAGGAGTATCCCAGAGAAGATGAAGCAAACACAACCCAGATAACCCCAGCATCCTTCCTGGAGTGAAGGTCTGCCTGGGCACAGCCACACGCACGTATCAGGATTCTGTCATGCACAGTGTTCATGAAGCCCAAACATTGTGTCAGTCACTTGGTCCTTCCTGGAAGGCTTATGCTCGGAGTTCAGGGTTCTTGGCTATATGTCTTAATCTGTTTTTAAAATGAGAGGAATATACTAAAACGAAGATAAAATTGTGCATGGTAGATACGCCGTGGAAAAGTTATGTATAAATCAATTATATATTAAAAGTACCATGGGAAATCAGGTTTTTAAAGGTGAACATTTATGAATAATTCCATAAGGCAAATAACCATTACTACCTTACCTTTCAGGCATATCAGAATTTTCATATACCGCATCATCGTAAGATTTTATTAGAGCAAGTTGTTCAGAAATAGAGATAAATAGAAACCATTTATACCTAGCTTCTTTTATCTAGTGCACGTGTAACTTTTTATAAATACTACAGTTTACGTTTTTCCAAAAGAAACAATTTTCTAATTTTCTACTCCACATAAAAGGAATACGGTTTTCTAACCTCATAATAAATCAATTAGGAATGCTTTTAACAAACTCAAAAGGTAGGATAAATTTACACAGGAAAGAGTTGGTATTTACCTATATTGAATATTATGCAAATCAACTCAGAAAATGTCACTGAGAATTTCAGGGTATTCTTCTCAATGACAAGGACACATTCAACCTCTAGGAAAAGGAACAAATCGCTTTACCAGCTTACATGCTCAGGGGAAGAGAAGGACTGTGTGTATGAAGTACGGTTTGTTTTCCGTGGATCGTTTTCATGAGGCTGACATTCCAAGGTGACATTAGGTCCAGAAACAGATGCCCTTTGTGAATTCGGATCTCTTCCAGCTCCAAAATTCTCTGACCTTGATGTGTACCTTGATTAGGATTTAATAGTTAATTATAATACTTTCAATGAATGATTTTAAATCTTAAATGCTTCGTCTTATATTAATGAACAAAGAGAAAACTTAAGGAGGAAAATAAAAACAAATGTTTTCCAGCTTATTGTTCTGCTTTGTGTATGTGTATGTGTGTGAGCGTGTATGTGTGTGTGTGCGTGTGTGTGTGTGTGTGTGTGTGTGTGTGTGTTGGTTACTGGTTTCTAAGTTGTATGCATTCATTTCCATCTTTTGGGTGCTCAATGCAAGTATATTGAAGCATGCATGCATGTAGGTACTTCTGAAAATCTGCCCTTGAATGCACAGTTGAACTCTTGGGTGAGTTTTAAAACTGGGTCTCTGTTGTAGAGGTGGAAAGGGAGACTTGGGCTCATGTGCAGTGTTTTTTTGACATGTCATGACAGTTCCATCCTGAGTGATGTGCTTTCTTCGTCATTGACGTAAGAGAAGAAATATCTCAGGATGATTCTATAGGCACATCTTTAAGGCCATGAATCCTAAAGACCCTCCAAACCTTAAAGCCATCCATCCTGTTGCCTTCCAGAAGGAAGTTGGAAGTACTGAGGTGGTAGTAAGAGTCCTCATTTGGACATGGTTGAGGTCAGGTGGTACACCCTTTAGTGCCACTCCGTTGGCTTTATAGCCAAGCATCTTGCCTTACTCAGAAAACAAGAGTTGTTAACTGAGACATGTGTATAAAGTGCCTCTTCCCAGGGAATTTATCGTCTTCATCAACACAATAGCAAAAGCCAAGAATAAAGTCTTCCAATTTCTCTAGAGCTTGTTCACTCTGAGTACTGTGTAAGCTTTTTTTTTTTTTTGAGTGAATAAATGAATGAACCAACTTCACAGTAGAACATTTTATGTAAAGCATCTGGAGTGTAGGCTTATATTTTTCAAAACCTTTTGAGAACTTTAATAAAGGTTCTCAAACACTTTGATCTCCTTTCTAGCCCACTGTCCAAAGGTAGAGGAGAAAAGATGGTAAATAGGTCAAGGGGATGTGAACCTGTTTAGAAGTAGTTCTTTGGGGCGATTCCAGTCTCTGTTGTCAGAATACCAGAAGTCCATTTCTGTAGTGTCAGGATACCAACAGTCCGGTTCAAAAGTGTCACCAAACTCAAATCAGCACAGCATGAGCCAGCAGAATCTGCCAGGCCTCTGCTGAATTTTCACGAGTCACTGGGAGAGACCAGGACCAGCCTGAATGCCAG